CATTCAGGGTTAAAAAACTAAAGCCCCATTTTTTTTTCACTTAATTGTTTATAACTTTTGTAATTTTTATCGGCGCATTTTCGGACCTTACCTCAAACTTTCTAGGCAAAAATACGAATCGAATGACACCTTGGTCGTAATTTTTGGACAGGGCTGAAAAATGTTATTCTTCAAAACAAAAACTTAACAAAGGGCCACTGGTCTGGATTCCCGAAATACTGACCTGAAATGTGGTGAAGCTGCTGATTCTCTTACAATGGAATAATGTTAGTCTGCACTACTACTCATTTTCGTGATAATCGACAATAAGTAGCCTAGCTTTACAACGAAGAAGAAAGCCAACAGTTGTAATTTATAGACATAATGGTGAAAAGAATCGACAACAATAGAAAATCAAACCACACAGGCCAGTATCTGATTTACACCAACCACCACCAATCTACCAAGAATGGAATTATTGAAACCCCCATTTATCGTGCATTGAGTCCCCGTAGCACGAAGAAAAGTCTTCATAAAAAACTAGCCTCTATCAGGAAAGAAGTTCAATATAATAATTTCTTCAAAAAACTTGTAGAAGAGATTTCAGCCAGAAGACAATAGGAACCCAAGAAGATTGATATCATCAGTAGCAGTCTCACAAAAATTTCTCCAAAAATTGCATTCAACTGGTACTATGTCCAATAACGGTGAAACCAATAGGTCGTTCAGAGTTCATATAGGCAAGCTTAGAAAAATACCTAGCGAGGGGAAACCAGCAAATCGGGATTAGCGGAGCGTATTTAGACTCATCAACAAAACAGTGATCCAAAGCTTATATTATCCACAGAAGGAACACTGGTTCAAAAGAAAGCTTAAAGAAGCTGTGCATATGTTGACCAATGGCGCATTCAGCCAGGATTATGTGGGGATCTGTAATACATGAGAACCTCTAATTAAGCGGGAAAACAGTTCTGGTGCAATGAATTGGGAAATTAAAAGGAGAGATGTATCAGGAATACGTTAGTTATTACACAAAAACGGTTGTGAATACTAACAATCGAAAGTCGTGAAGTAGTGTCCTGTTAGCTTTGTCTGTGCAGTAGATTCGCCGATTCAAGCTCCTAATAACCTGACCTTCAACATTTTTAAGGTATTTTTAGAACGCGTGAAATAATTTTATGACGGAGCATTGTTAAGTCACCTTTTGCAACAAATCATCACTCTTGCTTCGGAATGTTGTGAATTTCGAGTGATGTCGTTCGGTATACTCGTAATGGCTGAGGTGGCAGACGTTTCACCTTTGTTATCCATGCAGTTTTTTCCAACAATAACAAATCGCAAACACGACAGTTCCATTAAGGAAATGGGTACACATCTTGTCGGACATTGTGAAAATGATCCCAATTATGTTGATTGCGCGATAAAATCACGTCTAGCTCTTCATTTAAATTCCGGTGACACGTCTCAGTTCAACGAGCTGCAAAATACTTCCTAATTGGGTAGGTAAGATTGCACGGTGGAGGAATGCGAAAAAAAATTTGTAAGGGGTGAGCAAAAGTTTTTCAGATGCTAGTGAAACTATCAGGAATTGATAAGGGATTATTGAAGTACTGATTTCAATAAAGGAACAACTGGAGGATAAAAAAAAGTTTTTAAATATAAAGTTTCATAGCGGGAGGCCAAAAAATAGTGCTACAGATTTTCTGGATCAATGAAGATAAAAGAAATCTTTTTCAGGAAAGTGAGCAGATGAAACTTATTTTCCAATGAAGTGTGTAGGTAATATTTTTCAAATTATTATTTTAATGAACACCCGGTGAGGGTTATGCATCGGAATAACCCTCCAGTCAGATTTCCATATGGGGGCTGATTTAGGCGCATCATCTTGCAGGTGATAGTTGATAATTATTGTTATTATCATATCATATTATAAGAGTTATTCAACCATAAGAACATAACAAATTAGCACAGCAGTGCTAACAGACGTTTTGGACACCTTCCTGATAAAGTTTGTATATCAGAGGACTGAATATCTGCAATATCTGTAGTACAACGAAGTCAGTACTAAAAAAAATCCGTGAAATTTCTTCACTCAGGCTATGAGTTTCATTCTAGATTTAGGCGTGACTTCAGAATCCCTATTTTTTCCAAAGTGGCGTCTCGTTGCAACGGAAAAAAATATTAGAGCCTTAGAACTTTAATGACCTATCAACTTGCATCGAGAATTCTCAGTTCCTTCGTCGGTAAACTCCCCGCGAGTGGATCTTGACTTCAACTAATTATTTTTTCGATATCGTTTCTGATATTTCCCCCCACATTTTCCTGTCACTGGTGCTACGTACCTCTTTCTGAAAGTGCAATCTGTATCTTTCTCTTGTCTCTCGCCCGAGATTCTCCCACGTCCAATATAACGACAGGGATTCCCGTGTATTTCAGTTGCCAGTCTTGTTCGGATGGCGTTTTTGTGTATAAATTCGCCAAGGATCCGCTGACGTATATCTGAAACACACAAAAGCTTTTATAAAATATATGTATGATATGATATACGCGCTTGAAAGAAATCTATAGTTTACGGGCTGATGAATTATTAACTGAAGTGGCAAATAATTTCAATACGGCTGAGCGAATTTCCTGATGGGTTTCAGGTGAAGAGTTGATGACATAGCTGACATTTGTTAATAATATAAAAAAATAAAAGATTGGTAATATATTGGGAAGAATTTTAACCGATGATGGCGCTACTCAAACGATCAACAGCTAATCGTAATAACTGAACGTTGAACATAGGTTGTGTTCATTGTTTTAGTGTTTTTTGTCTTGAGCTGTTAAATTGTGAAAATGTGGGAGTAATGTTTTTGTTGCGATTATTAAAAACATGAGAAATTGATGAATGGGTAAAATAAATTACTTTCGCTCTCTGAAGGCACCAGAAACCACATCAATATAAGAAAACAGCTGACACAACTTTGTTTTACCATCTAGCTCAGTTCTGATAAATCTAAGATGTCCGATAGACTTATCTCTTTATGTTTGTAAACAAGAGTAATGATAACTCTCCTTTCTTTCATCTGCTCTATGCTTAATTAATTTTTTGATGTCCTAAAATTTCGAGGGGGTCCGGACCCCGTCTTCGCTACGCCACTGAGGCTGTATCAAGATAAAAGGTCCTTCACTACTGTTATTGCCCAGCTGACAACAATTTACTGTTGTTAGACTATTCGTAATTAGAAAACTTTTTTACAATGAATTGCTTAAAGAAAGTTGAAGAATCTGCTGAATACACTCGGAAATAAATGGTTGCTTCAGTTTGTCAAGCACCTGCCATCTTGATAACTAACTGTTTTGGTCAATTCATCATTTCTGTTGAAATACGAATTTTCATTCGATTTTTTCAATTCAATTAAGTATATTGTCCCAAGAAACAATACATGCTCATTATAAGGTACTATAACTGTCTACAAAGTATCATAAAAAACATTAATAGAAATAAAATATTCAACAATAATATATCTTGGAAAATAAAACAATAAAATGCAGTTGAATATGAAATTTGTTTTAGAAAGTAAATGTCAAAAACGAATTCAAGGGTAATAGAAAAATTAGCAAACTATGAAATTCCACTATTTAGATTTTTTCTTCAATTGATATTTAAATTTTCTAATGGAATAGTGCTTTTTAATTTTTTCTGGAATTGAATTATACAGTGTGATTCAAAAGTACTTTGACAAACTTCAGGAGGTGATTCCTCACAATATTCCAATATGAATTGTCCAAATAAATAAATGTCAGGAAACGCTTCGTTTCGAAGATACAGGATGTTGAAGTTTTATTTTCGTTTTTTTTTAAAATAACTTTTGAAATACTGAACTTAATTAAACGAAACTTGGTAATAGGAGGTTTTTGAGTGGTCGAATTCGAACCTGATGTTCTTATTGCTCTTACTCGTAGGGGGCGCCACCTACACGTCTTTTTCTTTTTTAAAGATTCATAACTTTTTTGGGCGTACTTCTAGCACATTTTTTCAGTGAAAAAATCGATTCCTCTATCATATCTACTTAAATAAGCCACCCTTGTTACTAGTCGCTGTGAGCAACCGTTTTCTAAATATTTGGACTTGAAAACTTCAAGTCGATTATTTGATAATCGATGCATGTTGAACTTATTACGAATATTTTGCATTTTTCACAAGAATACTTTGGAAATAAATTTGACGTTTGTGAGTACTTTTGGTAATTACATATTTTGTGACAGTTAGACGTTTTGTTGAAGTTTCCGTAAGTGGAAGTAGAAAACACTTATTTTGAAAAAATGGATTATTTAAACAATAATGCTCATTTAGCCGATATGCATTTCGTTTATGGCCTTGCGGATGGCAAAGCGCGCGAAGCAAGACGTATTTACCAGGAGCGATTTCCTAATCGAGTACTGCCTTCAGCTCTAACATTTACTAGTCTCCACCGTCGTTTGGCAGAAACAGGTAGCTTTAAGAGGGCAGCTGATATTATTGGAAACCACAAGCAGTCCGAACCTCAGAATTGGAAGAAGCTGTTTTGAACGCTCTCGAGGAGAATCCAGAAATAAGCACAAGAGTAATTGCTGAAGTTGTCAATTCTACCCAGTCCACAGTTTGGAGAATTATCCACGATCAACAGTTTTATCCATACCACATTCAAAGGGTACAAGCTCTTTTGCCACGAGACTTTCCCCAAGGCAAGGCAATATTTAAGATATGTATTCTTCACGGACGAGGCAAACTTCTTCCGAAATGCTATCATAAACTTTCATAACAACCATGTTTGGGCTCTCGAAAATCCGCACGCAGTTAGTGAAAGGCATTATCAGTATCAATTTTCTGTAAATGTATGGGCGGCAATAATTGATAATTACTTGATAGGCTCTTTCTTTCTTCCGCTCCGACTGAATGGCGCAACTTACAGACACTTTTTAGAAAATGAATTGCCGGGACTACTTCAGAATGTACCATTAAAAATTCGTATCCGCATGTGGTTTATGCATGATAGGGCTCCGGCCCATTTTAGCGTTGTAGCCAGGGAATTCCTTAACACAGTCTATCCAAATCGATGGATCGGTACGGGTGTAGAAGAACCTAACCAGGCGTGGCACCAAGGTCCCCAGATCTAAACCCGATAGATTTTTATTTTTGGAGACATTTGAAGTCACTAGTTTATGAGACTCCAGTAGTGAACGAGGAAGATCTAAGAAACCGAATAGTAGACGCCTGTGAAACAATAAGAAACACACCAATAATATTTGAGCGGGTACGAGATTCAATGACTAGACGACTGACTGCCTGTATCTTCGCTGAAGGTGGACACTTCCAACAATTTATTTGAATACAATTTAGTTTCGTTTATTTTAGTTTATTCTACATATTCAAAATTTCCTGAAATAAAATGTTGACATTTCTTGCAAATTTTATTAAAACAAATACTGATTATGCACCCTTGATACAAAAATAACTATTTCGCTTAAGGATGTCATAAAGGAACGTACCCAACAGTAATGACCTCTTCAAACGAGTAAAACGTCAAATTAATTTCCAAAGCATTCTTGTGAAAAAAGCAAAATATTCGTAATAACATCAACATGCATCGATTATCAAATAATCGACTTGAAGTTTTCCAAGTCCAAATATTTAGAAAACTGTTGCTTACAGTGACTAGTAACATGGGTAGCTTATTTACGTTTTAGCATTCATTTTTGTACATTTCTATATTTCATTATTTTTAATATTTATTTCATATATACTCTGTAATAATAGCATTTCTTGTAACTGGGTATTCCTGTTGGTAATAAATCGCTTTTTTTATGATTATGAATATGTCCAATTCGAATAAAATTCAAATTTGATTTCTATGTATTATTTTCAGCAGATTGAATAAAACAGCCGTTGCAACCACTGTGACTTCCACTACCGGTTTACATATCTGATTATTTTCAATTGTATGCCTTCGCTTGCTCAAAATGGATCCTAAATATTCATCGCTTACTCCTCATCTATGAAGGAAAGTGCACAGCATCACGGTTGTTGAAAGCGTATCTCGTGACACGGTCAAATGTTATTGTTTGCGAGATGAGCTTCGTCTGACCTTTTTGCTAGTAATTCCCAGTGGATCGTTGGGTAGAAAATGTGGATGTGGGAAACCGTGCACTCGGCGATAATGGGTTCCGAACTTAATAAAAGCTATTTGAATGCGAGATGAAATCGGAGACCGGATATAGAAGCAACTCGGGAAAGCTGTTCTCATAATGAAAGAGCTCTTGAAAAGTGTTCGGTGTGTGTCCCAGAATACCTCGAAGAATACCTTTTAAAGATGAGACATTCGTATGGCAGCACTTTGATGTTGAGAGGTTGAGGTTCTGTGACCTATATTCTGTGTCAAAGATATTCAATTTCATTTTTGGAGGTGAATTCAATAAAATTATTCGAAACATAAGTTTATTTACGTTGAGAAATTATCAGATGCCATCTTGGCAGGTTGTTAAACCAAAATTTCAACTGAGCTAGCTTTATTTCACCATATTCACAAACACTAACAATTGGACGGAATTCTTAGGTTGAGAATTATCACCCTTAACTTTGTCATCTGTCAAAATAGTTCATGGTTCGTGTTCCATGCTGAGCGTCTTCTATAAAAGTATTCTGTTGTTAAGTTGAACATCGAAAAGTTGATGATCATCTGTATTTTGTCGCTTACTTCTGAAATATTTTCCAATATTCGAAATAAACCTATCCTGGAGAATATGAAAAATGTTTTGAAGGCTCTATTTATTGTATTTATAGCAGTTCAAGAAGGATCACCAATATATATTTCTTCACCAGATAGATTGAACAATTTACTTATTTATTCTTATGATATTGGGTGAGGGAATTGCCTGATAATGACATCGTTTCGATTTTGTACAAGATCATGAGTTTTGACTGTATAGGCATCATTTACCAAGGATTGAATTGATCAAATTCACCATCTTATCAGAGTCATCTTGTTAGAGTTCTTGCTATATTGAATACCAAACCTGTGTCAGATTTAAAATTCAAAATTTTTATGAATACAGACATCAAACTTGTAATTTCTTTACTCCGCTTTCAAGTTTGGAATTTTATCAAATTCCGAATTTCTTAAATTCTACTTTGAACTTGAAATTTTGTTGAATTTGGACTTAAAACTAGGATATTTATTACATTTCGACTTCAAATACGAAATTTTGATGAAACTAGACATTACACCTAGAATTTTTTGTAATTCCGACTTTAAGTTTGGAATTTTATCAAATCCGGACGTTCTGATATCCCAATTGAATTTCGGTTTAAAATTAAAAGATTTGTTGATCTTCGACTTTAAACTAGGAATTTTAACAAATTCCGACCTTAAACTCAAAATTTTCAATGAATACAATGATTTCAAACTTGTAATTTTTTGTAACTCCGACTTTAAGTTTGGAATTTCATCAAATTTGGAAATTCTGAAATGCCACAT